AGAAGTGTATCCAAACCGAGCCAAAGAACTACAAGATTATCTAGCCCACATAACATCCAGGGCCTCCACTTATGGTGGTGCTTTGTTTTATGAATATCATCAGGCTTTCTTCTTGAAAGTCTCCAACTTGCTGGAGCAGGGATTGAAAGTTAACTGGGGTCTGTTGGATATACCTCTATATGTATCTGTTACCGCTGGAAAGAAACCTATGTCCTGTAGTATTTGCCTTGGTTCTAGCCACAGTACAGACCTTTGCCCCTCAACTAAAGGGGCCAATAAAACCAATAAAACACGCAAACCTGATTCAGTTATAAGAGGTCGGAAGATTCATTATCACAATGGGGTTGAAATATGCAATAATTTCAATGGAATCAATGGATGTGTAAGGAATAACTGTACATTTGCACACGTGTGTGTTTTGTGTAAACAGCCACATTCAGCTTCTAAATGTAAGAAAGAAGACAAGGCAAACACTAATGAAAAACTAGAACCACAGGTGGTACAGAGTGGGACTTTGCGAATGTTTGAATTACATGGATGAATAAATCTAAAATTGAAAATTTTGAAAATCTTAAAACCGTTCCTTTTTTTGAACTAAAAAGGTGAAACATCTGAGATTTTTATATAATTCGGCTTAAGTAATGATTACAAAAGCAAAAGCATTTTCCAAAAAATTGTAATCTATATATTTTTTTCCAGACAACAAAATGTAAACAAAATGAAAATTTAACCCGGATGTGCCATGCCCACGTCAATTTTTTTTGGGTGGATACATTTATATGGGGTATGTTTAATTATGTTCCAAGTTTGAAGCCTCTATATCTAAAGGTTCGTGAGATATGCTTATATTAATGTCAAAAAATTCACAAAATCAGTTAAAGATTTCCAAAAATTAAAAAATATAAGAAAATTAATTTTTGCATTACAATCCATTGTGATATATCGTTCGAAAAAGTCCAAAGTTGCGATTTTGGCCGTTTTTGTACAGCTATAAAACCGGAAGTAGGTGTCGGAGGTCAAATATCAAAGTATCATCTGGTAGCCAAGGTCAATGACTTTTGACCTACTTAAGGTCAAGGTCATCAAAGGTCAAAGTCACGAGATATACGCCATCATATATTGAAAAAATTCAATCGCAAATAAGCAAAATCGAAATTCAAAAATCGGCTTCCTGCGATCTCTCTTAATTTTCATGTTCTTTCATTTGACACCAAAACTTTGAAATTCGGTTTAGCCAAATTGGCTGAATAAAAATCGAAGAGTTTCAGGGAAATCAAAATGGCGGCTGAAATATCATTCCAATTTTCGATCTTTTTACCGCACATTTATCCCATAACTATAGCTACCGATCAGTACAAGTTTCGTTAAAAAATATCAATTACAGCGGAAGTGGGTCAATCGGAAGTTTGCACCCTTATAACGTGTAAACCGGAAGTGGTGCAAAACTTTTGACTGCTTAGTTTTGTTTACTACCTTGTTTTCTATTTTCAATAAAAATTTCAGATGAATCGGACAAATAGCAAAGAAATAGAAAAAATGGCAAAAAAAAAAGTTTAGATGCAAAAAGTGTGCAACGAATATTTGAAAATCAAATTTTTTTAACTCATAGTTAATTGGGATTTCGCTACAGTTTCTAAATATGAAAACCCGAGCAAAATCAGTCTAAAATTGCACCTTCTAGGCCCCAAAAACTACTTTTTGCACATTTTGCAAAATGCGCTACTTTCGGTTTTGCAAATATGTTCCAATTTATATTCATTAAGTACCTAGAAAAAAAGAAACACACAGGGTTGTAAAAAGGTTGCTACAGCTGTTGCAGTTTAGGCTGTCTGCCCTGTGTAAAAAACGAAGAAGAAAAAAAAAAGGAAACATTTCGAAAAAAAACTGGGACTTTGCGGTAACAAAAAACTCGCTGAAGCAAGTGATTGGTGGAAACTTTCTTCTGGTGGAACTATCTGACTTTGTTGTGCCTTGTAATATAGATATCTCTCAACTAATGAAAGTTCTATGGAGTCACCAAGATAAGGAATTGGTAGATTATCTCATAAATGGATTTCAATATGGTTTTTATTCTGGTCTATCAAACTTACCTGATTCTACTTGTGTGTGCCCTAATAATAAATCAGCCAGAGACTTTCTGCGTTAACCCTTTAGGACTTGCTATCGGAAAGTATTCCAAGAAGAAGAGACTCATACTTGACCTTTCGGCTCCGCATAATGATTTAGATCGGAGCATTAATAGCTTAATTAATAAGGAAGTATTTTCCGTAAAGTATATTTCTATAGATGATGCTATTAAACGGATTCAAAGGGAAGGTCCATGTTGCAATTAATGTAAATTTGATATTCAAGATGCTTTTAAGCAACTGCCTTTGAACCCTTCCATGTGGCCTTTCCATGGTTTCCGTTGGGAGCATTGTTTGTATTTTTATACTCGCTTAGTTTTTGGCTCTCGTTCAAGTCCTAAAATATTTGATATGTTTTCATCAGCCATTTGCTGCATTGCTAAGCATATATTCAAGATTAATTTTATTTTGCATCTTTTAGATGATTTTTTAACCATCGACAGTCAATATTTTGATGCACAGATAACCATGGGCAACATGAAATTATTTTCTTCACTTGGTGTTCCATTATCTGAGAAGAAAACTGAGGGTCCAACAACACGCGTAGAATATCTTGGTATAACTTTAGATACTTGATATTTGAGGCTAGTTTACCAGATGAGAAATTTTTTTGCATAACAGGTATCATTAAAGAATTTTTATCAAAAAGTCATGTTTCAAAAAAAGATTTGTTAAGCTTATTAGGGCATTTGAATTTTGCATCACGTGTAATTCGCCTTGGGAGATCCTTTGTATCTTTTCTCATCACTTTGACAACTAAGGTTCGAGAATTGCATCATTTTTTGCATCTTAACCAAGCATGCAAGCAAGAATTAAAAATGTGGTTATTGTTTCTCAGAGAGTGGAATGAGACTTCTTTCTTCTTAGATCAGTGGTATACACCAGCTGTTGACATGGAATTGTATACTGATGCCCCCAGCACCAAAGGCTTTGGAGGCAATTATAAGGGCCAGTGGTTCAGTGGTTCAGTGGCGCATGGCCAAATGAATTACTGCATTCAAAGGAGAGCTCTCTAGCGCTCTTGGAGTTTTATCCTATATTAGTGGCAACAATTTTATGGGATAGCTCTTGGAGTAAAATGAGAGTTCTCTTTTACTGTGACAATACTGCAACAGTGGCAATTATTGGCAAAGGTTGAGCCTTTTACAGATGTAGCCTTTTAAACTCTTTGTGCAGGAAACTTACATTATGTACTATGAATTTTAATTTTACCATTCATGCTCGCCATGTTCCGGGTGTTAAAAATGAAATAGCTCATGCTTTATCACGCTATAATTTTCAGAAATTTCACAGTTTAGCTCCAGTAGCAGCCCCCAAGCCTTGCAGAATTCCATCTTACCAAACTGTTACCAACATTCAGTTTTAGATTTAGAAGTAGAGAAACTTTGGGACCAGACATTAGCCCCATCTACCCTTCAAACCTATAAAACTGGTATAACTTGTTTCTTATTGTTATATGATTTCGCAGCTGATGTTAGAAATTTACCTTGTATAAGTGAAAAGGTTTTAATCCAATTTGTCACCTATTGTCACTCTATTTTGACTATTTCTCATAGTGCTATAAGATCCTACCTGGCAGGTATAAGATATTTCTATATTAAACAATGCTCAAATCATTTATGGAACACATTTTCAAATCTAGATCAATTGTATTATATTTTGAGGGCAATTAAACGTTCTCAGTTAATACCCAACCTAAAGCGCTTGCAAGTCACTATTGAGTTGCTTTCATCTATGCTTCTAAGGCTATCAAAAGGTTGTTTTTCACCTTACATGGATCAATTGTTATTATATTGCCTCTTGCCTTTTTTGGGTTTCTTCACTGTGGGGAGTTTACTACTAATGGGAGTTTTGATCCAAATCTATGTATAGATGATATAACATTTTCGAATGGTTACTCTTATATGGATGTATATTTGAAGTCGTCCACAACAGATCCCTTTCGGAAAGGAATTGATATTACCATATTTGAAAATAAGTTAAATACTGTTAAACAAATGTTTAAATTTATGAGTTTAAGGAAAAGACTCTACCCTGGTAAGGCTTTAATTATTATGGTAAACAGTACACCTTTATCAAGAGAACAATTTTTGTGCTACTTTAGATCCTTACTCCATAAAATAGGTATCGCCAGCTCGAAGTATAGTGGGCATTCTTTTCGAATTGGTGCTGCTACATCGGCAGGTAAAGCTGGTATTCATGATCACTTGATCCAAACCCTTGGTCGCTGGAAGTCGTCAGCCTACACCGGTTACATTCATACCTCTAAAGATACCATCAAGAATGCCCAATATGCTTTGAGCAATTATAAATCCCTACATTATATTTTGGCATCACAATGTGTACTTCGTCATCCTTTGGCTTTTATTTAATAGATTCCAAAATAGTGTATTATCTTATCTTATGTAGATATGTCTCTTGTTCTTGTTACTATATTTAATTTTCGTTGGATCCAAAATTTTCTTAATGATAGGAAGTAAATGCTGGGATCACTTCCCTCATTTACTGTTGCAAATCACTTTTTCAACACTAGCAAGGGTTAGGGTCACGCTCTTACCCTTTAACACAGTTCATCACTAATCTTAAAACCACCTTAACAGATGAGGGTCAATGCTGCAGACTGATATCATAGACAGTCACTTGATAAGCTTGGCAACCTAAGCTTACCAGACTGCAGTTGTAGATTCTTCTGTTTATACTTACCTGGTTCCAGTTTTGTTTAGCAATATTTCTTTCATTATTTGTTTAGGATTCAGCATTAATTGTTCGAAATTTAGTACTACTTACTATGGGGTGCACTCCTGAATAGGAAGTTATACAGTGGTGTAACTTATTTTCGTGGATATAAGGATTCAACACCGAATTTCGTCAAAGTTATTTTTTTTTATGTCTTAGATGTTTCCTCAGATATTCTACAAAATAATTAAAATTGGTTTATTTCCATTTTCTTTATGAATCATTCACTTCGACCAATATTTCATGAGCAACCAACTCGGCAACGGCGGCAGAATGCGTCACCTATTTTCGTGTACAATGTTTGATCTATGAATAATTTTGAAAAACACGTTGTATAGATACCGAGTGGTATAATTAACTTCTCTTAGTATTTATCTTTAATATCAATTCATTATAACTCGTGACAAAGAACCACGATTTTAAAAAAAAAATAGTGACTGACAAAATAAGATACGTAGCGTGATTTATTGCTAACAGTCACTGAAACACTTTGTGTTCCATAGAAATTTTCTGCTGACACGGAATCCGCTAGTTGATCACGTGACTTCATTCTTTGGACTACATTCTAGCAGACGACACTTGGAATTCCAATTACCGCTTTGGATTATAAGGAAATTCGGCCAATAAAATATGGTGACGTTTGGTAATAACTGAAATCCGCCATTTTGTATTTGTGAAAGTATACATTAATACATTTTGCCCTGCTTGAAACTACTGGATTCATTCTACTAGCTGACATTTTACAAAAAACCCATGTTTATCAAAACAAGCTAATGCGGAGGTCACGCAAGGTCACTCATGTAAATTATTAAACATTTCCGGAAATCCACGAAAAATAGGTTACCATGAAATTAGGTTACTTGACTGTAATATCTTTTGTCAGATTTAAAAATTTTATTTCTTGCAAGCATTTTGTAAGAGTGCACCCCCTTTTTTATGCCAAATTAAAAATGTTTAAAATTTTACTGTGGTTTTTGCTACATAAACTATAGTACAAGATATAATACTGCATTTCATTATGAATAGAACAATGGCATCATTACATCAACAAAATATAAAGTAGGACTGGATAATCTAAACAGTAACTTAGAAGGGAAATAACTCTATTTTGAGTTCTATCTATTCAGACCACAATACTACAACATTTTCCAGTTTAAACAGGAAATGGATTTTAACTTCCGGTTGAATAACTTCCAGTGTTATAGAAAATTATCAACAAAATTTTGCTGATGGGTAGCCATCGTTATTCTACAGCCAATTTTAAAATGGAATCTATTCCGGAAGTGATACTTTGGCCACCATTTTGATTTTCTTGAAAAAATCTATTCAGAGAAAACGGCTTCTCCGATTTAAATGACTTTGGTGTCAAATGAAAGAACATAAAAAATAAATAAGCCTCTAGAAACCCAATTTTTGATTTTCACTTTTGCATTTTTGCAATTTCCGGTTGAAATTTTTGAAAGTTTGAAGGCTCATATTTCGTGAATTTGACCTTTGATGTCCTTGACATTTATTGAGTCAAAAGTCATTTACCTTGGCTATCAATTGATGCTTTCATATTTGAACTCTAACATCTACTTCCGGTTTTATAGCTGTCCAAAAACAGCCAAATTCGCAACTTTAGACTGCTCTAGCTGGTGACCTAATTAACCCAGAGGGTTAATTCTTTCAAATTCTGAATGTGCTCATCGTCCTTGAGGGATATATGACAATAGTTTTTTAATGCAAAATTTTAATTTGTGATTTTTTTTTAAATTTTTTTTTATTTTTCAATATTCTCACTTCTTTGAGATGGGTGTATGTATATCTTATGATCTTTTAGGTTGAAATTCAACACATTTTATGAACAAGGGCAATAACCCATATTAATGTATTATTATATATTTGATTTACCTGATTTTCCATAGGGTTCATCCTTACAGGATTACAAACAATCACACCAAGACAGACAGACAGACAGACAGAGGCAATGACTATAGATGTCCACATTAATTTAACATTTAACTAACTGCCTTCCACCATTTGTAATTTGTTTCTTCCCCCTGATTAGGTCAAAATTTTTCTTGACGAAATGTTGGGTATTAAAGGATGTTTACCTGTTACTTGTTTTAGTCGTGGTTCCAATACTCTAATAAAAGTTCGGTTGGCCTCTTTACGATAACCACTTCTTTTAATCATATGATGGACACGTTCAAATTCATGCCTCTGTCCATTGACAAGACAATACTTATATTCAAATCCCTTTAACATGGCACTGGTTTCAATCATTATACACTTTCCATATTCTGTGAAATCTTTCAAATCCCTGAAAATAAAGAAATGAAAATAAATGTAATTAAGATTATTTCCTAGCTGTTATATTTTATTTCTAGCGATCAAGTGATCCACATGAACACTCAACTTGGTAGACAAGTATCTCTTTGAGATAACTAAGCGGGTGGGGTCAGGCTGTTGGTTGAATTTACCTTTCTACCTTTGTACATGAAGCTATTTGATTAACCCGTCAATCAACAAACCATTGACCCGCTTACTTATCCCATTCATTGGAAAGGCATCATACCAAATTAAGTATATATCCTGAAGAAGACAGTTGGTATTAAGAGTGTTCTCAAGCAACCTAAAGGTAAAAGATATACTTAGAGCCAATGGTAAATTAAATCCCCCCAACAACCAAAATCCAAAGGAATGTATCTGCCAAATTGAGTGTGGAAGTACATATATAGTGGAAACTAAAAGACCCCTTGATATTTGAGCCAAAGACCATTAGACAAGCCTGGTAGTGAATAAACATCTTCTATGGCTGGACACCTACTATGAGAAGAACAAGTGGTTACCTAGCAAGATACGACCACTTTCCTGATACATTTTCAGTATATCAAAGGCAGTCACCTATCTGTGTCAAATCATACCAAAAATCTAATTTGTGCAAGGTATTGTTGATTTAAACAAACACACATTATTTAATAAAATTCTGACATAAACCGTCACCTCTATCGCCAACAAATTTTGATGCGTTTTTACTAAGTCATGGGCAATAACCCAAATTCTGTTGATCGAAAAATTCTCAAATTTAATTTTGACTAAGATCTCATCATTATAAATGATCATACCAAATTTCATCCAAATCAGATGAAAACTGTACTCTCTATTGTGTTCACAAACAAATTTTGATTCGTTTTTCATAAGTCAAGAGCAATAACTCAAAAACCGTTCATCGTAAGATAGCCAATTTTGAAACTTGTCCAAGATCTCATCATTATAAATATTCACACCAAATTTCATTTAAATTGGATGAAAACTGTAGTCTCTATTGTGTTCACAACCAAATTTTGACGCGTTTTTCATAAGTCAAGGGCAATAACTCAAAGATAGCTTGCCAGGCAAGGTAACATACGCCCACTGGCAGCTGTCAGAAATGATTAAACAGTCTTTAGTGACTACAGTTGTTGCACAATATAGCTAATAGAGTGAAACGTCAAGTCAGACACGATATTTCGGTGAAATATTATCCGATCATCGCGAAAATCGATAGGGATCATCTTCATAATGACATACAAAATAAAAATCAAAAGAATCTGTAAACAATTGTAGCCTGTAGATTGAGCATGTGTTGCACAATATAGCTAATAGAGTAAAACGTCAGGTCAGACACAATATTTCGGTGAAAAATTATCCGATCATCATGAAAATCGATATATCATCATGAAAATCAATAGGGATCATCTTCATAATGACATTGACATACAAAATAAAAATCAAAAGAATCTCTAAAGAATTGTAGCCTGTAGAGTGAGCACGAGTTGCACAATATAGCTAATAGAGTAAAACGTCAAGTCAGACACGATATTTCGGTGAAAAATTATCTGATCATCACGAAAATCAATAGGGATCATCTTCATAATGACATTGACACACAAAATAAAAATCAAAAGAATCTGTAAAAAATTGTAGCCTGTAGAGTGAGCACGAGTTGCACAATATAGCTAATAGAGAAAAACGTCAAGTCAGACACGATATTTCGGTGAAAAATTATCCGATCATTCGAAAATCAATAGGGATCATCTTCATAACAACATTGACGGACCGACGGGGTGATTACAATATACGCCCATCTTACGTGTGGGCGTATAAAAATCAAAAGAATCCATAAAGAACTGTAGCCTGTAGAGTGAGCACGAGCCAAATGTGAACGGACGGACCGACGGGGTGATTACAATATACGCCCATCTTACGTGTGGGCGTATAAAAAGCGTTCATTGAAAGATAGCCAAATTTGAACTTGTCCAAGATCTCATGAATATAAATGATCACACCAAATTTCATTCAAATCAGATAAAAACTGTTGTCTCTATTGCGTTCACAAGCCAATTGTGGACAGACGGACGGACAGGGGCGACGACAATATACCTAAATAGAGATGAAGGTCTTTAAATGAAATTTAGAGTAAACATAACATTAGAAAATATGATGTATATGCTACTCCTTTCTTTTATTTTAGCAACATTTCAATTCACATATAAGATTCCTGTAGGAGTAGTAAATCTATGTTTATAGTGTTTTATTTTCTTTAGAGATGAAGGTGTTCCCTTATCTTATGCATATAAAGAACTTATCAACATATAATTATTAATATGCATAACAATGTATTCAATTTAATTTAGTAAATATAATATAATTAAATCACGATTGCATTAACACGGTATCAAGCAATTTGATTGGATAACAGCAGTCACGTGCATTCGGTTTATATCTGTGTAAACAGAATGTAAATATAAGCTCCGCCCCTTAACTGACTACTTTTATCATTGAGTTTGATTGACAAGGACACTATACAGCGTCATTGTCGTTCCTTCCAACGTCAACAGAGCCGAAATGAATGATTACGGTATTTTCCAAATTCCCTTGAATGTGCACACTCCAAATTTCAACAAAATTACAAGTTTTGGACTTATTCGAACTTGTCTTTCAATAATTGAACTTTCTATGTGGCCGCTCCGTCAACTTTCATGCAATAGGCAGTAGACTATAAATAGGTGACCTACTTGTATTTGATTGGCTGTTCTCTAGGACGTCTCTATTGTTAGTATCAGTTCATTAACGTTATGTTAAAATCTTATGTATTTATGCGCCAATTTAGTGCCTTAAATTGCTGCTATTTTAGATAAATATTTGAACATGTATTCGAGTTGATTTAATTATAAGGAATGACCTGAAAATTTTTTCAGTTTATCGATGTATAAACAGAAAAAACCTGTGTACACTTATGTATAAACCGCTATGCGGATTTATACAGTGTAATCAAGATTTGTGCCTTGTATAGTGTTTATGAGCAATTGTGGACGGACAGACGAACGGGTGACTACAATATACGCCCCCCATTTCATGTGGGCGTATAAAAATTCTATTGATTATTATTTGAACTCCCGAAACCATCTCATAAACATAACAACATTATCATGAAAGGCAATGAATGAAAACAAAATGGCGGATCCTCAACATAAATTTACGGTATTTTCGAGGGGAAAAATACTCAAAATATATTTTACTGTATAAAGTGCTCACCCCTCCTAAAAGGGGCCAATTTTGGGAAAAATAACTGTTGTGTTATAAGGAATGACCTGAAAAATTTTTCAGTTTATCGATGTATAAACAGAAAAAACCTGTGTACACTTATGTATAATAAAGGGGCCAATTTTGGGCGTACGGTATATTTAATCTGTAATTAATTTACTTTTGTCAAATTTTTCTTATCAAACCAGCTATTGTATGTCATTTTAAAGGGTGATGAAAAAGGTTTCAGTAAAACATTTGAATGCCAAAAAACACCTTTCAAAAAAGATCGGTCGTTTCCATGACTACTATCGTCAATTTCAACCTTGACTAGTCGGATGAAAATAATAATCGATTAATCGAAATAATCAGAGAGGCATAATCGATTATGTAATCGATTAATAAACAAAACGCGCCCCATCTAATGAACATGTACTTGTTTTAAGGCTTTATAAATTAATTTCATAGTTGTTTTGTTAATTATGATAGGTTTGATGCAGATAATTACACTCAACACTCTGAGAAATCAAGTTACTTTTTATTTGCATACCAGTTTTTTGCTGTATAAATTACATAGCAGTTTAAAATTGTGTGGAGTATTAGCACTTTTTAACAATGTAGAAGTCTTGCTATTAATCAAATATATTTAATAAAAGTTATACAGTAGTGTTAAAAAAATAACTTTGATTCTTGAATTGTAATTTTAATACTGGTACAAAATATAAATACAACAGTTGTAGCCTTTCTTTAACCTCAAATGTATTCTTATCTCCATATGATGTGTGTCCCTTTGACACTAGAGTACATCTGAAACATTTGGCGCTGTAAATAACGCACATTTTTTCTGGACGAAAAAAAAACCAACAAGTTGGCAAAACGCAGACACCATAATATTGAGCGGCAATGTCGCTGTTTCCCTACAACAGTGACTCTACCTCATTTAGGCTTACATGACCTATCCACTTTTTATAATATTTCTTCAATAATGGCTTTTCTTATATTCCTGATATCTCTAACTGTGGGACTTTGCTTTGCTTTTGCTTATCGAAATGTCAATTCTTTTTTTTTTGCAGGGCGTTCTGCTTTGTTTTGGTAACGATAATTTTTTTTTTCGTCAGCTAGGGAGCTTATTTCTCGGAACCAGAAATAGGTACAACAAAACGGAGTTCATGACGTTTTCTAACTCGTGGCTATTCACGTATTAAATGTAAAACGAAAATGTTCTGCGCAACCGGAAGTGAGATAGCAAAAAACCGGAAATGGACTGTAGAGGGCGTATTTATCGTTCGATTTTTCTCGGGTTTCCTTTATTATAATTCTTAGTACAAAGGACATATGATAGCAGTTGAAAATATTCGATTTTCCATAGTCTGCATAGTCAAAAAATGTTAATCACTTCCGGTTTCGATATTAGTACTTCCGGTGGTATCACTTCCGGTGAAATTGAGTTATGTCGGAAATGACATATGCATAAGCTTAGTATCACTAATACATACCTAGCTCATACAGTATTTAAACAATTTAATCAATCTTAGCTATGCTCTTAAAGCATTTTTTCATATTACCAAAAAATTTTAATTATTTTTTTGTTTTTTGTTAGCTTTTAAAACTCCTGTTTTCTCTTTGATGTCATATTAATGTTATTATTATGCATGATTTTGACATAACTTATCCTACTTGAATGCATATGTTAAACTTTATTCCTCATATAAATTTGCAATGTCATGATAATTTTGTATGAGAATTGAAATTATGTTATGTTTGTAAGTTGTTGTATATATTGTTATCAAGCCTTTCAAGATTTGTATATCATTTAAATCCAAATATACTTTTATATTCACGTTTTCCGAAATTTGTCAAATCAGATTTTTATTACCTAAATATGAACCATGTCTTTGTTCGATTATATCTATATATCTATTTTTATAATGCTATTTATCACATGAATATGTGAGTTGTTACACTATGATTTGTATGAGAATTGAATTGCTTGAGGTATGTTGCACAGATAATCAAGCCATCCGAAATAATTTTTCATCTATGCAAATACACTTTTGTATTTCACGATTTGTATTGTGAAAAAATTTATATACATATAATGATTACTTAACAACATATGGAACCTATATATTATATCCGTCAAGTTTGGTATGAACAGTTAAAGATCACTGGAGGTTTCATACTAGAGAGAAAGCTTACCAATGTGATGTTTGAAAGAAGACTTTTTTCTGTGTAACTAATCTAGATAGACACATGCGAATAGATACTGGAGAAAACCAATACTAATGCTAGTTTTATAAAATGTGTTTTATTGAGGCAAGTCATCTTAAAGATCATATGAGAATACATACTGGAGATAAACCACACTAATGTGATGTTTGTAAAAAACAAATAGTGAACACATACTGGAGAAAAACTCTATCAAAGTGATGTTTGTAAAAAGTGTTTTGAACAGACAAACCATCCTAATGATCACAAGAGAATACATACTGGATAGAGACCTTACCAATGTGATGTTTGTAAAAAGTATTTTAGTTGGAAATCAGTGCTTAATCGTCATGTGAAATATAATTATATTATGTTTTATCCAGCATCTCATTTGAATGAATAAGTCAATGACATCATGCTACGACATTTATACATTTTATGATATAGACACTTAAGATACTGTTGTATATATGTATATATATAAATGTTACAAAATGTTTTTAAAAACCCTATGTTTTTTAAATATTATGTTTATTGTAAACAGTTTCATATATTGATATGTTATATGCAATTACTTGCCATGATGTACACAGTGTCTGAAACCATTTTCTTTAATTATGAAGTATTTACCTTTGATCTTGATTCCAATGAAGCCATACACAAATGACTATTGAATCCTTTAATAGGTAATTAACAAACTGATTAGTACCAAAAAGGATTAAATGGCTTTGTTTTGTATATAATGAGCTGAAATCAAACTTACCCTTACATTATACCTGAAGAAGCTAATATAGCGAAATCCGGATCGTATATTTCGAGGAGCCCCCCCATTTTTTGTTAATTTTTGTAAGATATTTGTTGTAAGTTGTTATATATTTTTTCCACTTTTTTGTCTTCTCAAATAAAAATTTACCGTTTTAGGTACTTTTTACCCTTTAAGTATTTTTTGTGCTTTTTAAGTACTTTCATCATATTTCTTTATTCTTTGAGCTATCATGGACAATCACTTTAGATCTCATTGGCAATATCCCAGGCAAAATTACTTTCCCCAGCATTCGTATCTCTATAATCAACCCAACTTTCGTCATAATCAACCCAACTATCGTCATAATCAACCCAACTATCGGCATAATACTGTCGACAAAACCAGCATCAGAGAGGAAACACTAATCCCAACCGCCAGAACAACTACCGTCGTCCATACAACCCTGATAACCACCAAAGACAGGAGACCAATCCAGCAGTGAAGATATTATTCCAAATCTTACAATGTCTTCCCCATGCTTCTGTCATTTCAAAGCAAGTCAGTGGTTCTCCCACACGTGGTTTTATCTCTAAAATTTCGGATCTCAATCGGTTTGTTAAACCAGCTTTAAAAAATTCTGCTATTTCCTCGGCTATCGAGACAGTAAATAATGTTTGGGCTAAAAACGTGGCGATAGCACTTAAGAATCATTATGATTCACAGCTGGCTGAAAAAATTTCCTTAATCAAAGCACGCAATATTTCGGAATCAAATTTTAAACAATTCACTTTCGAAGTAATAAATTGGGCTAAGAAGTCATATCGCCGACTCCAAAAAGATACCCTTGATCAATTTGATAAAATCATAGACTCTTTTAAAGACATAGGTGTGGTGGAAGACATGGAAGCTGAATCTCAACCAGTTTCTACACCAAACAGACACCAGTTACCACTAATCGCAGATGTAAGACCTACGCCGAAACGCAAAAGAACTCCACCACCTTCTGGCCTTAGTACTTCGCAAGAACCACTATCCATAAGCAAGAAACCTCACACTGATAGACGTACTTTACCATTACCAACTTTTACTGCAACTCCATCCACACCAATGACGACGCCAAGAGCGAGCCCTGAAACACCGAAACCTCAACGTACCAATACTCGCCGCCGCTTAAGTTTAACCACCTCACCCTCATCTCCAGCCTGTAAACCACAACGTCATAATAATGAGAAGGATAAATCCAAATAGTCTATTCCCACACTCACCAAACCAACAGTTATCATTGGATCTTCCAACATCAGCAACATCCCGTTCCTACATCCAGATACCCAAGCCGAATCTTACCCTGGTGCCCGAATTCAGCATATCAATACATTACTCTCCAAGATCTCTCCAACAACCATTCCGAAAAAAGGTGTTATTTCATGTTGGCCTAAATAATAAACAGGAATCAGGAGAATCCATACACAGAAGAATGCTGGAACTCCTCAAACTTGCCAAGTCGAAATTTCCGTCTGCTTCCCTTTACGCCACACAGATTCCTTACTCAAAGGAGCTACAATTAGCTGAACCTCATTTAGTCAATAACCTCCAGAAGTTCAACAGTCTATTATATCATAAACCGTCCCATACTATTCCTCGCTTCAATGGAGTGGTCAGTGTCATTTCAGATAACATCCACTGGATGTCCCCCACAGCAAAAAGTATTTATTTTTCATGGGTCTCCCATTTAAACTGAACGCGGGGGGGAAATGCTCTAAAATTAGGAGAAACTGTGGTTAACCTCAGTTCGCGAAAACTTTCTCCCCTTGAAGAAAGAGTTTTAGATAGAGGTCTAACATTTATTCCGACATCTAAAACTCTTTCCCATGAACCAATTTTATCGTTGGTTGAACAAGTCAATAGGACTTTTAAGTTAAATTTCTTTTTTCGGAATAGACTCGGCAGAGGCAAGCGAATACCGTTCATTGAAAAGTCTGGTTGGACTCCACCAGACAGCGCGATTGACTCAGATATTTTGGCTACTTGCGATAAATTACATGAAGAAATATCTCATTTACCTTTGGTGAATGAAAAACACAACCTCACCAAGTTTGAAAGGAAAGCTTTGAATAGCCTAAAAAGCGATCAGAACATTATAATACGAAAGAGTGACAAAGGCAGTTGCTGTGTCATTCAGAATCGCAAAGACTACATTTTTGAATTAGAGAAACAATTGAACAATGCTAATCATTACCGTGTACTTGATCAACCTATTTTCATGGAAACTGCGCAAAAGATAAACAATATTTTAAAAACTTTAGTAAACAAACAATTTATTTCTGATTCCCAATATGACTATCTTTCAGCGAAACAGGAAGTCCGTCAACGTCACATTTATACTTTACTGAAGATTCACAGAAACTGAATGGTCATTAGCCAATAGGATTCCTAAAGGCAGGCCTATTATCTCAGATTGCGCGAGCGAATCCTACTGTGTTTCTGAATACATTGACCATTTTTTACTTCCTTTAGCATGTAAGCATCCGTCATATCTTAAGGATACCACCGATTTTGTTGAAAAAATTAAAAGGTTGAATGTTCCTCCAAACGCAAGATTTATCTCATTAGATGTTACGAGTATGTATACCAATATTGATAATAAAACCGGTTTAGACGCTGTCCGAAAGGCCTTTCTTCGAAATCCCTGCGTAGATAGACCCGACGAAGAAATATTAGAACTTTTGGAATTATGTCTAACGCGAAATGACCTTGCCTTTAATGAAAAAATTTATCTCCAGACTTCAGGCACCGCGATGGGCAAAAGATTTTCGCCGAGTAATGCAAATATCTTCATGGCTGAGTGGGAACTGGAAATTTCTTCCATTTCCCCTTTTGAACCTTTCTTCTATGGAAGGTTTCTTGACGATATTTTTATTATTTGGACCGAGTCTTTAACAAATTTTTGGCAATATTTTGAAATTTTAAATAATCACCACCCTTCTGTAAAACTAACTGCGAATATTTGTGAACAAAGTATGGATTATGGATACTACGGTATTCAAAGGACCAAGTTTCTCTCAAACAAACAAATTAGACATCAAAGTATTTTTTAAACCAACGGATACTCACAAACTTTTATATAAAAACTCTTTTCACCCAAAACATATTTTTACGGGAATAATCAAATCACAAATTTTACGTTTTTTTAGAATTTGCACTCAAAAAGTAGATTTTGATGCAGCTTGTAGACTAGTTTTCAGTAAATTAAGAGAGAGGGGCTATTCCAAACGATTCTTGCGCAAAATTAAAAATGACACTGTTTTGGACCTTTTGAAAATTAATTAACCCCCTCCTCCAATAAATAACTTTGGCGCAATACCATGTAGAGGTTCTCGGTGTCGCACCTGTGAACATATCCATATGTCTCATTATTTTCAAAATAATAAAAAAAACTGAAAAATATTTGAAATTAAAGAACGTCTCACGTGTACGGATAAAAACATCATTTACCTAATTTCGTGTAAAAAATGTGACAAACAATACGTCGGCGAAACCCAGAATGCGTTGCGAACTCGATTTAGCGGACATCGCTTTGATATAATTCATAGCACAAATAGACCAATTTCTCATCATTTTAATTTACCTGACCATTCCATTGAAGACCTACTTATCATGCCTATTGAATCAATTCCTGACTCTGATCTTATCAAACCAAAAACCAAACGATTACAGAGAGAAAGCTACTGGATGGACAACTCCAAACAGTGGCTCCAAATGGACTTAATATCCAGCATGATAATCAAATGATTCCATTTGTTGCCACCTTTAATCATACAGCTGCCAAAACCTCATCCATCGTCAAACAGTATTACAGTGAATTACAGAACAGATTTCCGAATGTATATACCAAACGACTTGTAATTGCCTATAAGCGCAATAAAAACCTTAGTAATTTTCTGGTCCGTGGTAGACTCGATCCCATTGAATCCAATAATACTTGACCCCCCTCTCTATTTTCTAGCTCATTAAGTATAATATATTCTAATCCTTATATATAGATGTTTATCTTTTCAGAACCTATAACCTCTTTTCTTTTAGAACTGGTAACAAGAAAACTTTGATATTATAGACTTTTGTTTATTTAGATTACTCGTGGTTGTTTTTTTTTTTTTTTTAACTTAATACTAACTATGCTAACTTCACCTTATCTTGTATTGAACATTTATCTCTTTATTTGTGACCTTGGCCAGTGCTTTACATAGAAGTTTTTAGGAACTTCTTCACTCTTAACACAAAGTGTTACAACTAAAGAAATTCGTA